ATTTGAGAACTATAGTCAAAGATCTATTTCTTTCACTCTTGGGAAGAGAAACTGGAATAAGATCCTGGGACCAGTGAAGTACTTGTTAAATTCACGTGATCTATGTTTAGCCGCTACTGGTCAGAAACCAGTTTGTCTGTTGGCCTAATTGAGAACCACAGATGTGATGAAACTGTTGTTAGGAATAACTAAATTGTGACGTACAAAGTCCATAATTGGAAACAAATTGCATCAAAATTCCTATCCATTTAAGTGATTCTTCTTCCTAATGCCTCGAATGAGATGCCTTCTATTTTCTTCGTACTTTTATGTGCAATATTTCAGTGTTGAAGATATCTTAATATGGACATTCCTAGACTAGACTAAAGATGCAGTGCACATGATTACCTTCATTGTATAGTTAGCTTACAAGATTTATTGGAACTAAATTATTGTTGAATTTTTCAATATCACAGGATGAGAACATGAGATTCTTAAGCAAATATGACGAAGCTTTGGCACATTTGGTACTTGCAGGATCTGACATCATGCTATGCCCTTCTTTTGATGATACAGTACTCCAAGTGCCGGTAAGTGGTTTCCGCAAAACTCTATCCTTCGCAATCATTTTATAGACTAATGTGGAAGTAGAAATGAAATGCTATTTTAATTAAAAGAGAAAAAAGAGACCACCACGTACCATGGGGTTATGACTTATGCCCCCCCTCCCCACCCCACCCCACCCTACCCTACCTACCTACTAACTAACGTAACGTANNCCCCCCCAAAAAACCCCCCTTCCTACTAATAACTCAAAAGGAGTAAATAGGAGTTGTATGGAAGCCTGAAGCCTTGTCTTCAAGTTACAAAGAGAGAGACCAACAGCTAAAAGCATAAGCCTAACCCAATCATTACAGAATGGGACGTGACACCCTTAAATACTCAGAGGCTTAATACCAACTTCCAGTTTATCTAAATGATCCTTTGTTTCAGAAGAAGATCACAATGGGATGAATCTTGCAATACACCTCTTGGAACTGGCCTGAATTTCATTAAATAATCCACATGCTGATCATGTTCTTGCAAGCATGTTGGAGCCCTGATTTAGGTGTCTCTCAACACTCTAGCGTATATATCTGCCTTGAGAAATACTGAAACCTTCTATTATCAAAAGGAGAAATAAGTGTTGCTTCTGACAGTTTCTTGCTTGATTTGCATTTAGCTCCAGCTGTGCCACCATCGGTCGCATTGCCCACCAAAGAACCAAAACATTTAATTTCAGCCCTTTCATATAAGCCTTATCTAAGAGACTGCAAGACGAGAATTACAATTTAGCATGCAAACATTGGCCACACATTTTGCTTCAGATGAAGAAGGGTTCTCAAAATTAGAAAACAGACTATCATTAGATGAGTACTCGTAATACGTGTATCATTCTCTTGCTTTCCCCAGTGAATTGATTAACCTTTTTAATTGACACATAGATTAGCATCATGTTTGCTTCCCTTTTAATCTGCCTGCTTTTTTCTATAATTCCTGAAATTGTAATGCTTCTGATGTTTTCTCTGTTTATATGTCTGTAGCTCAAGGCCATGCGATATGGAGCTGTGCCTATTCTACTGAATTTTACGGACAGCAAATTCGGGTTAGTTAACAACATATGCAAAATGAGCTGAAAATTTTCATCCTGTGTCTTTATCTATGGTTTGTTATTTCCTTGCCTGTTGAGAAAGTTCACGTCTTTCTTTAAATTACTGGACAAACAGGCACTTTATGGACCATGATCTTGAGGGCACCAAATTCTCTCGTTATATCAAAGATACCTTCGCCAATTTGTCCCTCAACCAAGCAATTGAAGAACTTGTACGTACTTGAGTCTTTCCAAAGTCTTTCTCACCTCCTTCCCCCCTTCCCCTCCCATGGGCCCGAAAGAACTTAACAAATGAGTATGAAAAACTTTACTATTATTCAGCTTTCTGCTCCTGGTAAGCACTTTACTACCCAGAAAAGAGCAGGCTTTTTAATCTTGCTTTATGTCATGTTATTACAGAAGAACAACCCTTCAAAATGGGACAAGAAGATTGTCGATGCCATGACGAAGGATTTTTCGTGGGAGGCAGAGTGCTGTGACATTCATATCTCTGCATATACAGCAATAAAGAACTTGTAAAATAGATTTTCTGTACATATTCATGTATTTATATCTCGGACCACGCCTTGTAGGTACCTATTACATATAGTCTAGCGGAGGGTCTTTTGTTATCTTAAGAAAGAAAAAAAAGATATGAATATCTATCCTTTTATAGTCAATTGTTTTAGTCAGTAGTACGGACATAAGTGCGGGCATTGCCCATTCTAACGAATAATTGAATGTCCTCTCTAATGAATAATCGATATGAAGGAGTACATCTGAAAAACATTGCTTGTTCTGTCTTTCCCCTCTTCTATGACACCCCAACCCCTGTCCCCCAGTCTCTCCACCTAAATGACAACAACAACAACGACCCAGTGAAATCCCGCTGGGGTATGGGGAGGGTAGTGTACGTAGAACTTACCCCTACCCGGAGGTAGTAGAGAGATTGTTTCCGATAGACCCGAGGGACTCTCTCAACTTAAATGAGAAAGTCTGGAAACGTAAATGTTTAAAAGAATGAAAAAAGAGAAGGAAAACCTTGATCAGCTTTTCCTTTACTTCGCCTTTTCCACCCTGCTTTGTGCGTATAGGACAACTTATGTCATCATTCTTTGGGCTGAATAGAAACCTAAGCTAAACAAGTATTTTTTTCTGCTGGTTAATTAAGTTGATATTTGAAGTCACTTTGCTAATGTTGTCGCATCTTATCAGAGCTTACAATTTGCCTTTTTCAAATGTAAGTGGGTTGACAGAACCCCACCTCTTCTAATAATCTCCTAATAATATCTGTGTCATCAACTGATAGTGTAATTCTGTCATTTCAATCTGTAGAGATATGGACCACAGCTGATTTTCGTGTAAGCTTCTTCTCAAATTTTAAGCCTATAGTATTTACTAAGTTGATGATTAATCTTTTTTGAAGCTTGTTATCTTTAGAACGAGAAGTTCCTTTGTGAATTCTTACTTGTTTGAAGTTGGTTTCTGAGGGAAGAATATACCATTAAGTATCCGCTAGACCGCTACCTGTTATATGGTGGATTTTCACTCTGTAGCTGGCATGGCTCACGGATAGGATTTCTAATATCCATTTTTATGATTCTTGATACCATGCAATGCTGTTATGATTTAGTGTGTCATCAAGATATAAGGATAACAATATCATATATATTAGAAAAAGTTGTACATTCCAAAGTGAAGAGTTTTTGAACTTATTGATCTCATTTCAAATTTGTCCATATTTAGGAGCTCTGCTGCTGAGATTGGTCGACTGAAATAAATCTTTCTAGGCCCTAACATCGAAAGCGACAGTAGAGCAGCAGTTGTTTGTGTCGTCAACATTGAAATCATTATCTGCTAACAAACGACCCACCAAACAAATATGCCCTTTTCTCCATTTTAAACATCTAGGAAAAAAGGATCACACTTCCGTGGTTCAGAGTTTGTTGGGTTGGCCCAGGCGCTAACCTTATCATGTGCTACACATATCACTCACACAACTAGTTGTACAATTTCAGCACAAGTGTGAGTCTTGCTCATAGTATTTGATCACAGAGGCGGATTTAAGATTTGAAAGTTTTGGATGTCCCACTTTATATTTATAATACAACTCTAGACCCACCCATTTTTAATAGATCTAAAATTTTATGCAGTAATATCCTTTCTGGAGGTCAAATAGGTATAATAATAATTTTAAATAGCTATTTAATTTCTATAGTTGGTTTGGTTCGGTTTTTTCGGTAACTCTTTTTTTTAATTATAACTAAATCTAAATCAAATTTGATTGGTTTTTAAAATTCAAAACCAAAACCAAATCAAACCAAAAAAGTATCGGTTTGGTTCAATTTTTCGGGTTTTTATGAACATCCCTAGATACAAGTACCTAATATACTAGCTAGGAAGATGTACTTGGTGATTATGTTAGCAGCTGATGTATAATCAGTTAGATCCAAAATTTTCTCTTCATAGTCCCTCTTATTTTTGTCTTTCGTTATGTTCTGGGACCAGTAAGTCAGTGATCCTCATTAAAGATGTACCTTCCGACCCCACTTCTTAATTACACTTGCATCCTGTTCTTTCTGGTAAAACGTATTCAACTTTTACATTTTGATAAACTAGACAACCAATCTGCTTCTTTGTGTAGACTGTAGGACAATGTATTAGTAACGAGTAGAGTACTTTTGTGGATTTAAAAAAAGTATATGTATCGCAGTCTTAACGAGATTCCTCTGATTTAAAATAAATACCACTCAGTAATTACAATTTGGATCTAACAGTTACGATTTTACTATAGTCTTTGATCTCTTTTTGCAGTTGTGGCTCGCACGCCTTCCCCTTGTTTTAAAAAAATATAAGAAATCTATCAGACTTGAGTGAATCAGTGTGTAAAATTTGAAGCTAAAAGCTGGTGGGTCTAAATTCAAATATTCTCAAACTTCAAAAAGGTTCTCATCATTTTATAATCAGAAACTTTTTTTGCGAAACTCAAAAAAGTCTATGTCCACGCATAATTCCAAAAAGTAAATACTTTACTGTAAAAGAAGTAATCGTAGAACTTTGTTGTATTATCTTTTCAGCCAACAAAATTCCAAAAATACCCTGTCTGTCTCAACCAAACACAACATGATGTAACGATCAAGGGTCACTATCGTTAACTAAATTGGAGGATAGGATTTTTCCTCCCCCATCCACCCTGAAGGTAAATCCCATAACCATATTTAATGATATCAGCAACATTTAAACAGTAATAATAAAAATAAAGGATGGTATATGTCAACACGAAACTATTTTTAGATTTGTAATTGAATACGTTTTCTTTATAAAAGTTTAAACGTGTAATAAATTAATTTGTTCACACATTAGTATTTTGAATTTAAAATTGTAATTTAATATTTGGCGTGGGGGGTCACCTTCTGTTTCCTAAAAATTAAATTTACTGTTTCAAATGAAATATGTAACGAATTTCGGGAGAGTAACAAACATTGATATCTCAATGGAAATGGCGGTGTACCTGAATCTTCATTTCTTTAATCTCGGGGAAACCCCCTCCTATTTTCCTTTCTGATCTTCCTTCTCAATCATCCGTCTATACTCAGACATATATTACACACTTTTCCCGTTCGGTTCTCGAGAGATTTTCATTTCCCTAAATCTGGCTGTTCGCCGGTCGTTTTTTATGTTTGAATGAGCAGCGGTTACCGATTTTGCTGCTATTTGTATTTGACTGTCTTTGATTGTTAGTAGTAGTAATTTCTGTGTACTACAAGTAGTGGTTCATCGTCCGAATTCAAATTAGAAATAGGTTTGAAAATTGAAAAGGCGTCTTGTTAGGCTTGTGTAATACTCAAAGCTTTGATGAAGCTTTGAGGCAAATGTTCGCTAAATATGCCAAGCATTAGAGCTCCAGCTACAAGGAAAGCCACTACCCTTACGGTAACCTTTTTATTTTGAAAACTGCTTTACTATAACAGGCTTTGAATCGTTAGCTAGAACTGTTGATGTGTATTTTGCTTAGGTGTATTATTCTGATGGATGTAGGTAGCGGTGAAATGTAGGCCACTGACGGAGAGAGAAGGAGGTCGTGATATAGTTAGAGTAAACAATGATAAGGTAGTTTTGTGTATTCACTTACTCTCGAATCATTTTCTACTGTTCTAGCTAAAAGACACAGTGATTTTCTTTGAAACATGATTATTGTAGAAACTCCTATGTTATATATTTATTCGTTGTGGATTTGATTGATTTACCTGAGAGTCTTTTGGTAATTCGTGACAACAATGCTGAATGTAGGAGGTTGTTGTATTGGATCCTGACCTGTCAAAGGATTACTTAGATCGCATACAGAACCGTAGCAAAGAACGAAGATATGCTTTTGATTACGCATTTGGACCTAAATCCACAAATTTGGCAAGTGTTTGTTTTTATCCTTGTTATTTCTCTTTTCTATATTTTGGCTACTTATGGATGATGCCAGTTTACATGCCTTTGCATTTGATGTCGTTAATTAAAATCTGATGCTATAAAAACTCAGGGCGTCTATGAGAGAAGTATTCAGTCTACAATTGCTGGGGTCATTCAAGGCCTGAATGCAACTGTCTTTGCTTATGGTTCAACAGGCAGGTATATACAACATTGGATGAAGAAAATTTGAATCTTCGTGATTAATTTCCTGGTCGGGATATAGGCCATAGACATGCTTGTGGTATGAAATTTTTAAAAATTGATCATTGAAATTAAGTATGTGTTAGCTTCAACTACCACCAGTCTGATCTTCCTTCAACAATATGGTGAGTGGGGCTAAAGTTGAGATGCAAAATGCTATGGCAATGATGATTTTGAATCCTAGGAGAAACTTGATAGTTTAATAACAATGGGAGATTGGTGCAGAGCAAAGAAATTAAATGAAAAGCAGAGATTGGTTAATAAAGGTTTTTATTGTTGTGATGTTGAAAGGAAATTATATTGAGTTACTTTTAGCATATCAACAATCTTAAACAAGTTATTCCTGTGTCTTCTTGGTGCTTGTCCCTTAATATACAATACTCTTTACTGATTTTAAGAAAAAACCCACCTTTTTTGGCTTTTAGGTGGACTAAAAAAAGCGTCACTAGTTGGGTTTATTTGAACATAGGGAAGTTATAAGCTCATCTGTTTTGGCTTGTTTTCTTCTTGTACTTTATCTTTTTATTTTTCCTATTCTAGTTGGAGAGCCTAGTTCCAGACCCCTGGGTATGTTGTTGTTGTAGTTGGAGAGCCTTGGAGTGCTTCCGCAAGATAATCTTAATATTAAAAAAAGTGTTTGTATTTTCAGCGGAAAAACATATACAATGGCTGGAACTAAAGACGACCCTGGACTTATGGTTCTGAGTCTTAACACGATATTCGATCTTATCAAGAATGACAAAAGTTCTGACGTGTTTCAAGTTACTTGCTCCTACCTTGAAGTCTACAATGAGGTTTGATGTCTTTTTCATGGTATAAGCAGTTATCGATTGAAGTGGTCCAGGCAATGCTTTTTGACGTCTAAATATGGTGAAAGCAGGTAATATATGACTTACTTGAGAAGTCATCAGGTCACTTGGAGCTCAGAGAGGACCCAGAGCAAGGAATTGTGGTTGCTGGCCTTAGATGTATCAAGGTTCGTCTATATTTTAATACTTTATCTTTTTCCAGAGACTGCTACATTTTGGATCGTCATACTTAGCATCTGTTGTCAAGGTCTTTTTTCCCTCAATTAAAAGAACTCCCTCTAATTCAGTAGTTTTATGAAGTCCAATGGGTCTAGTTTCAGAACTTAAAGTGTTACAGCATATTTCATCATATTCTTTTCTTGGTGCCTTAGAGATGCTGTCCGCCAAGTCATTTAATACCCTAGTCCATAAAAGAATGTAACAACAATCTGCTTCATACTTCTTAACGCAAGTTTCCGTAGTTTTCCAGTTATTTTAAGTCCGACATGAGAAGATGTACTTCCTCCAGTTGTAATGCTCTCTGCATCTGTTGATTTGGTTATTTTGTCTTATCACATGCTTTTTGGCCTCATCCTTTCTTTAGATAATGACTATTTACTTTTAGTTACTTTTGCTCTAGTGATACAAGATCCTTGCCTGTTGTTCTTGACCCTGATACTTGTATTTAGGTTAATTCAGCTGATAAAATCCTTGAGCTCTTAACTTTGGGGAACAGCAGGCGAAAAACAGATAGCACAGAGGTCAATGAAACTTCATCACGGTGAGTAACATTGACTTCCTGTTAATGTTGTATCCTAGGTTCAGTAAAATCCTCTTTAGCTTTCTACAGCAAACTGAAATTTTTAATTTTCCTTCTCCTTTTTCGTGATTCCTTGGTAAAGAAGACTTAAACACAGACTTCTTATATCGCTGTAGTTCATAAAAACTGAAGCTTACCATTGTTTATCAGACATGAAACACCGACAATAATTACAGCTAAAAGAAAGGGTGGTGGTTCTTGATATTCTACTTTTTATTGGAAAAATCAAGGGGAATCTTCCACTAGCTCAATTTCTTGGTCATCTCACCTTGTTAATGATATGGAAATACTGATATTACCTGAGCAGCTCTCATGCAGTGTTGGAGATTACTGTGACTAGGAAACAGCGAGACAAATATTCTAATCAGGTTATAAGAGGAAAACTGGCACTTGTGGATCTTGCTGGAAGGTCTGCCCAATATTTCCTTCATTTTTCTTCTTTTCCTGCATGAGCAAAAGATTGGTGATAGTTATGTGCAAAACTTTTGACACAGTGAACGAGCTTCTGAAACAAATAGTGGAGGTCAAAAGTTGAGAGATGGCGCTAACATTAATCGATCTCTTCTTGCTTTGGCAAACTGCATAAATGCTCTGGGGAAACAACAGAAGAAGGGTCTGGCTTATGTTCCTTACCGCAATAGGTACTTGAATGGTTGTTATTGTGTTGTGAAATCTTTTACCTAATGTTAACTAATCTAGTTGATTCTTCTTGCAGTAAATTGACACGGATTCTGAAAGATGGTCTGAGTGGTAATTCTCAAACAATAATGATCGCTACCATATCACCAGCTGTCAGTCAGTATCACCATACTGTGAATACCTTAAAGTATGCTGACAGAGCAAAGGAAATTAAGACACACATTCAGGTTAGAGTCCAATATGATGTACTAGTGTAACAAAGGACAGTAGGACATTAGAGTCATACTAGAAGATCATCATTTTCTTTTGTGAATGTTCAATGCAGTACATAGTTAATGTTGAATCCTTTTTCTATTGTAGAGATCTTCCCATAGCAGAGGGAAAAGTATTCTTCATTGTTAATTATGTTTTAAGATGCAGAGATTTGGCACTTCGCAATAAAGAAGTAATATTATAGTAAACCTTGGATCGGAAATGGATGGCTGGAAGGTGGTGTAACAAGAAATGTAAAGTTGAATAGGTGATTAATCTGATGTTTTTGCAACGGAATAAATTCATTAAGATGGCTTGAGTGTATTAAAGAGGCCTTGCATTCCAGTATTGCAGAGAAGTGACAGTAACTGCAGTTAATAATGAGAATAGTGCAGGAAGAAGGACGGAGCTTATAAGAGAAGTTTTTAAAAGAATAAATTAAATTTTAGTCATTAATGGTTTGCCTGGTACTAGCTAGGTTAACTGTATCACCTGATTCATATACGAAAAGTTTTTAAAAGAAGGAATTAAAATTTATCCCCTAATGGTTGCCTGGTACTAGCTAGGTTAACTGTATCACCAGATTCATATAAGAAAAGTTTTTAAAAGAAGGAATTAAAATTTAGCCCTTAATGGTTGCCTGGTACTAGCAAGGTTTAACCATATCACCAGATTCATGTACCTATCCTTCTGGTGAAGGGACAACTAAGGTTGTGGTAAGGTATAGAAGTTGCGCATGGTTGACTTCCTTTTAAATCTACTTTGTTCTTTTGTGATCTTTGGGTAAGCTCATTGCCATTTGCCTACTGGTATGACCCAATACTCTCTGTGTGACCTATGGTTAAGCGTTGACATCCAATTGAAAGTCTTCTATTTGCTTTTGTCCCAGTAACTACTCTAAGGATAATGACTGAATTGTTTTATTCATGAGCCTATTGCTGATCGCCATGCTGAATTGGGCATTATAGAATGCAATTCAGGGTGCATAGTACTTGGTTCAGTCTGGTTTCAACTTGGAATTTGTTGTATTGATCCGCATATTCTGTATACTAATTTATACTTTTGGCTTTGCTCATAGATTTTCTATGCAATGTGATTTTTGTTGCCCTTCCAAATTATGTCATATCCTCTGCAGCTGTTTTCCTGTTTCATTGCCTTGGAAAAATTGATCTGTCATGTTTGAGTTATCTTCACAATTTAGTACAAATTCCAGTAGGTGTTGCTCATCAGTTCTGATCTGCATTGTTATGCTCTTCAGAAAAATATTGGCACAATCAATACTCATGTTTCAGACTACCAACGGATGATCGATAGCCTTCAAGTAAGCAAGTTGACATTTTCTTAACATGTTTACTGGACGTTACAAAATCATGCATGTTTAGAAGAGCTGCTTTTCCTTGTAGAATGAGGTCAGCCATTTGAGGAAGGAATTAGCTGACAAAGAAACACAACTAAGTGCCAAGCCTACTGAAAAAGCCTCAGACGACGAGCTTTCTTGGTTGGACACATTGAGCCATGAAACCAGTGAAAATGTTCAGGAGAGGATAAATTTACAGAAGGCTTTGTTTGAGATAGAGGAGATGAACATTAGCAACCGTAATGAACTCCAAAATCTTGATGATGCAATTGCGAAACAACAGGTTATGCATCATTCTGTGGACCATCTATTTCCCAAACATCTATATGCTTCTGTCTGGCACTTAACATTTGTTAACCAAGCATTTACCTATCTTGCACACTAAGATTTGTATCTTTAGTAGATCAGTTGCTCCAATTTCTTAATAAGTTTCTACTTAATGTCTAGTACTCCCTACGGTATGAATGCACTACTACTGTTTGGAGGATCATTTCCCTAATGTCAGTTAACTCTGATCTTGAAAGTGGAGCACTTAGTCTTTTGCTTCTATTTCATTCCTTTATTTCTTGTCTGATCCAAAGTGCTTTTGAATTTTTATCTTCAATCATTAAAGATCGCTAACAATGTCTTGTCTTTCTCTTTCTGCATGACCTTAAATCGCTTGAAGATATCGTATTAAATTGTTCAAGAATTTCTTATTGGATATTTCCTTATTTTTCAGGCTATTGAAAAGGATGGGGCAGTTGTCCGGGCTCTTAGATCAAGGCGCCAAGTCATTCTTGATAATATTCGTGACAATGATGAGCTCAGTAACAATTATCTGAAGGTGGCTAAGTACTGCTGATGTAGGTTTTATCCTGATCTCTGTTTTTCTTCTTAACACATCAGGAGTTCTAAATCGTGCAGGAAATTGAAGCAAATGAGAAGCGAAGGTGTGAACTCCAAGCTATGATTGATGAAGCCATTAGCAGCAATGGAAACAAGACTTACTTGAGAGTTCTGAGTCAATATAGGCTACTGGTAAACGCATATTATAATTTTTAAACATTTAGTTTAATCCCACCAAAGAAGATATATTAATCATCCAGTTCTCTTTCCACCACAAGATGCACTATGTTCTTTGCATTTTTTCTGTTCATACTTCCACTCATTGGATTGCTACCTCTGTGCTGGCAAGCCCAATGAGAACAAAACAATTATGCAGAAAATCGCTTATCGTAATTTTGACTGAAAATTGATGTATTATTTGTACCTCACCTTTTTACTGTAATAAATGTAGGGAATTGCTAATACTGAACTTCAGTTTGAAATAGCGATGAGAGATCAAATAATCCACAATCAAAGGGAAGCACAAAAGAATCTGTGGAATTTGCTCCTAAGTTTAGGCCTTGATGAAAAGCAGATAACAGATCTTGCCCTTAAACAAGGAATAACTATTGAAGACTGGACAATGACTGCCCAAATTCAATTATCTGATAGAAGACAGTCACCAAACACAGGAGATGGAACATGTACTACCTTATCTTCTTCTCCCCCAAGTTTTCAACTTGGTGCCAGCTTGCCACTTGATCAATACTTCTGTCCTAGGCCAACTTCCCTGGGAAATCAGAGACTACCACATATCCATTGCAGGGACGAAGATCACAGTTCTAATTATTTGTATGACTACTCTCCATCAGAAAATACAGAGCTAAACGAAGATGAAAGTTTGTTTAGAGATGGGATTTCTTCACTTAATGGAGTTCCTGATAGGCATCAACTTGAATTTTGCAGTTCATATCCGCCAACATTAAACCAATTTTCTTCATGCAGTGAAAGTAGCATGTCAATGACACCTTCCCATGTGAACCTCAGGAAGCAGCAGCAGCAACAGGTATTATTTCAAACCAATCATTCTGCATTCTGGATGCTCCTGTATTGAGAACTACAGACCATCTTTGTTCAGAAATGCAACCGTCTGTCTCTGTCTCTTCTCCCCATGTTTGTGTATTTTAGCTACTGTGCCTCTCAACGTTCTTTTCTCCTATTTCTATTCTGGCTTATACATTTATTAAACTCATGTATCTCGCTCATAGGATATCCGATCAAGCTCTATGAGGCAGCAAATACACCCAAGCTACCATGCTAAAATCAGTAGCAATGATTACCTTCACCATGGAAGGACGATGGTTCGCAGGGTATCAAGCGGAGGTCGGTTTCACAGTAGCTCCTTAACCCAGAACTTTGCCTCGCTCAACTCTAATCATGTATTCCCAAAATTTGGGCAATTTAACCTGCAAGATGTGCAGGTTCTTCCTTCCTATGATACAACCAAGCAAGTTTCATTTAGTTCCAATAGCCTCGAAGCTCAGCCACCAAGATTTGTTTAAACCTTCTATTCTTTCATTTGATTCCTTTTTCAGTTTGTCCCTCCAATTGTACATATTATAGGTAGTGTTAAAGATTTTATAGCCATTTAGTGGATCCAGTAGTTGGCATAGATATTCAATTCATTCGACTCTTTGTAAGGAAGTAAACAATGTAGTTCCTGATAGAGAAAAAGAAAAGAAGAAAAGTAAAGAATGTAGTTCTGGTGCTGCTGTGCATACTGCAATAGTGTAAAATATTTGGAAGTTGCTGGCACTTGATGAAACAGTTCAATGTCGCTGAGTTCCAATTTTCTGCAAGGCTCTTGGAGAATTCCTGATGACTTGGTAAACAGTTGCTGGTTTTGAGTTCTGCTCTTGGAGAATTCCTGATGACTTGAAAGGTCCTGCTTAGCAGATGATAGCCTGAAGAACAGCTTTTATTCACCAAAGTTTAAGGTGTCGTCTAATAGTTAAATCACTAGTGTCCGTCGTTAAAATTCTAGTTTGTTAGCTTACTTGTACTATTGTGGTACTTCCATGCTGATGCGGGTTCCAATTCCCCTTTTAACTCTAATCCTACTATTGTCATAACAAAGAAAAAATATGCGTTTTTCACTCTAGAAACACAAGTATTTTCTTTTTAGACGAAGATGACGTGCACACGGATGCTGGTCACCTAGTGGGATCCCCGGAAACGTAGTCCAAGGTTCAAATAAGTACATGCGCCGGGGCGTGAGAGAGAAGGAGGTGGGGTGTCATATTACCAAAACTCAAAAGTAAGGTGTTTCAAAAAGAATCAGATAGCACCTTTTTAAATATATGCAGGTATAATTCTCCTTTCTGTTTCTGTTCTTTTTTCATTTAATTATTTTTAAAATGCTTTTATATATGTAGGAGTGTATACGATCGAAATCAGGTACGCCCAATTTTCCGGGCTTGAATGGTCGCCTAAAGCCCGAGTTTAGGTAAGATCGAGTTCGAGCTCGATGGACCAAACTCGAGCTCGAAGACAGAGTGCAAGACCCGAGGATCAAAGTGCGCAATGAGTATCGAAGCCGAGTATGCTATCCTCGAGATAATGCTGTTACGGATTTGTAACAAAATGAGCAAGATTCCTTCCACGTCCCCAAGATCATGGTGTAAATCCCGGAATATATTTGTTCGAATCCGTACTAGGGGGTTAGACAGCTGTCCCAATAAGATTCTTTACTGTAAATAGAAATGCACCTTATTTAGGGTTCCCCTATTATATAAAAGGGCCTCCAATCATTTGTAAACATCATCAATCATTGGCAAAGAACATACTCTCTTATTTTCTCGCTCATTGTTTATCAGAATTATCCTTTAGCTTTATTATTCTTACTTTATTGTTCTTGATCCATCTCGAGGTCACTTTGGCTCGAGGTCGAGACTGGCCTACATTTCTGGTTTGGTTTTATTTGTTCCTTTCATTTACACTTCAGATTAATTGGTTATTAATTAGTATTGAACTAAATCACGTATCTTTAAAACCATAAATCAAATTTAATTATTACTCGTATTTTCGAGGTAAACAGTTTGGCATCCACCATGGGGCTAAAGATAATAGTGATTATTTCACTACTAATTCTGACAACACACGTTATTTTCACACTTGTTCTTGTGAAGAAATTTTGTTCTCAAGATTAAACATGTCAAACTCGCAAAAACACACCTGTTCACGACAACGAAGGTCTTGGATTTCATGGGAAAAAAAATAATGTAGGGGTCGGTGTACCACCAATAAACCCTGGGGAAATGCCAAATGTGGAACCAGTTGATATTAGTTCACACATTGCTTTGAATACATATTTAGGCGCAGAGCCCGGAGGAAGTGTACGCAGGGAAGCCCGATCTGGGGGCCAAGGAACACAGGGTATAGGAGATGGGGGAGTCAGCCTCCAAGTGATATTCGAGATGCTACAATCTCAACAGATTGCCATCGCTCAACTTCAAAGTCAGAATAAACCTCCGAGTATAGCCGAACCAGAAAACACTCGACGTGCTGAATCGGCGCCAGAGAGATCAAACGGTAATGGCTCGGGGACTGACCCCACAATTATGAGGATGCTCGAAGAACTCACCAAGAGGATCGAGACCAGGGAAAAGAAGATTGAGGATATAATGACAAAAAAGTGGAGACATATAACTCCCGTGTTGATCAAATACCGGGGGCACCCCCGGTCTTGAAAGGTTTAGATGCCAAAAAATTCATACAAAAACCATTCCCTCAGAGCGCGGCTCCGATGCCCATTCCTAAAAAGTTCTCATGCCCGATATACCCAAATATAATGGGACAACCGACCCTGATGAGCATATTACCTCAGATACTTGCGGGATTAAAGGAAACGACCTGAATGATGATGAGATCGAATCAGTATTGTTGAAAAAATTTAGGGAAACTTTGTCGAAAGGAGCCATGATTTGGTAACACAACTTGCCCCTGAACTCTATCGATTCGTTTGCTATGTTAGCAGACTCCTTCGTGAAAGCACATGCCGGGGCCATAAAGGTGGCGACGAGGAAATCGGACGTTTTTAAGATAAGACAGAGGAACGACGAGATGTTAAGGGAGTTCGTGTCCCGGTTTCAGATGGAGCGAATGGAATTACCACCGGTCTCGGATGACTGGGCAGTACATGCTTTTATGCAGGGTTTGAATGAGCGGAGTTCTATCGCATCTCGACAATTAAAGCAGAATCAGATCAAGTATCCAGCTGTGACGTGGTCAGACGTGCATAATCGTTATCAATTGAAGATCAGGGTCGAGGACGACCAGTTGGGAGCCCCCTCGGGTTCAGTTTATCCTAATAGATTGGCAGCCAAGCCCTCGAGGGATACAGACAAGGATCAATATCAAACAAGGAACGGTATCAGCCGTATGACGATAGGAGAAACAACGGCTCGAGTCGTAACACTCCTCGGAATGATCGGAGAAATGATCGAGGTCAAAGCTCTCGGGGACTAATGAGTAAGAATGGGTTCAATAAACATACCAACCCCGCGGAGGCACCTCGATTGTCGGAGTATAATTTCAATGTAGACTTATCAGGGATCGTGTTAGCTATTGGAAGAATCAAAGACACCAGGTGGCCCAGGCCTACACAAACCGATCCTTCTCAAAGGAATCCAAACTTGATGTGTAAGTATCATGGAACACATGGCCATAGAACCGAAGACTGCAGGCAGCTACCGGAGGAGGTAGCCCGGTTGTTCAACAAGGGTCACCTTCGAGAATTTCTCAGTGATCGAGCTATGAACCACTCCAGGGAAAGAGATGCAAACAGAAAAAATGAGCAGGAAGAACCGCAACATGTAATCCATATGATCGTAGGCGGTGTCGATGAAGGTGTCGATCACCAGAGAAAAACAGACTCGGAACTATGTGCCCGAGGGCGTCCTATCATTCAATGACGAGGAAGAGGAAGGCATATCACAGCCGCACAATGACGCCCCGGTAATTTCTATTTTGTTAGATAAAATTCAAGTTAAACGTGTTCTAGTGGATCCAGATAGCTCAACAAACATAATTAGATCGAGGGTCGTAGAGCAACTCGGCCTACAGGATCAAATTGTACCTGCATCCTTGGTCCTAAATGGCTTCAGCATGGCAAGCAAAACGACGAAGGGGGAGATAATCCTACCAGTGAACGTAGCCGGGACCATCCAAGATACAAAATTCCATGTGAAGGCGACATGAGGTATATAATGCACTCCTAGGGAGGCCATGGATCCACAACATGAGAACAGTACCTCCAACCCTTCATCAGATGATGAAATTCCCAATAGTGGATAGTGTGAAAACGGTTTACGGAGAGCAACACACTGCAAAGGAAATGTTTGCAGTCGATGAAGTGATACCGATACCGGTGCCTTCGACCTCGGAAAGGTCGAACACCAAAGATAAGCAGGCGGCCAAATAGCAATCACCGATCCTAGTCCCGATCGAGCCGGAGGAATAACTAATCGAAGAAGAAGAAGAAGATGATTTCCTTACTCCTCGAACCTTCGTTGTTCCCGAAGAGTCAGACGGAACCAAATCAACGACCGAGGAACTGGAACAGGTCATACTGATCGAGAAAAAGGTATACTTGGGAAAGAGGTTAACCCCCGAACTCAAGAAAAAACTCATTCAATTTCTTATCGATAATATGGATTGACTTGCTTGGTCCCATTTAGACATGATAGGGATCCCATCAGAAATAACAACGCACCGGCTAAGCATCGATACCAAGTTCAAACCATTAAAGCAAAAAGGAGGCCCCAGTCCGAGGTAAATCATGCATTCATAAAGGATGAGGTAACCAAACTTCTTAAAATAGGGTCTATTCGGGAGGTAAAATACCCCGAGTGGTTAGCCAACGTAGTCGTAGTTCCTAAAAATGGAAACAAACTTAGAATGCGCGTAGATTATAAGGATTTAAACAAAGCATGCCCTGAAGACTCTTTCCCACTTCCTAACATCGATCGCATGATCGATGCCACGGCTGGCTACGAGATCCTAACTTTTCTCGATGCCTACTCCGGGTACAATCAGATTCAGATGAATCCGGGCGACCAGGAAAAGACCTCGTTTATCACTAAGTTTGGAACTTATTGTTACAACGTAATGCCCTTCGGTCTAAAAAATGCAGGAGCTACATACCAAAGCCTAGTTAACAAAATGTTCGAGGAACAGATAGGTAAATCGGTGGAAGTTTACATTGGTGTTATGTTGGTTAAGTCCCTGCGCGCAGAGGACCATTTAAATCATTTGCAGGAAACATTAAAAATCTTGAGGAAGTAACAACATGAAGCTTAACCCGGAAAAATGTGCCTTCGGAGTCGGCTCGGGCAAGTTCCTCGGCTTCCTGGTGTCTAATCGGGGAATCGAGATCAACCCTGATAAGATCAAGGCCACCGAAAATATCACAATCGTGGATAGTGTGAAAGCCGTGCAAAGGCTAACAGGACTAATAGCCGCCTTGGGTCGATTCATTTCGAGGTCATCAGATCGAAGTCATAGGTTCTTTTCTTGCTCAAAAAGAAAAAGGATTTCGCATGGACCCCGGAATGCCAACAAGCCTTAGAAGAATTGAACCAATACCTATCGAGCCCACCTCTGCTTGTAGATGAAAAGCTTTACTTATATTTGGCAGTATCCGAGATAGCAGTCAGTGGGGTACTAGCTCGAGAAGAGCAAGGAGATGCTGAAACTAGATACCCTCACTTAGAAAAATTATCACTTGCATTAATAAGCGCATCTAGAAAGTTAAAGCCATATTTCCGGTGTCATCCAATATGTGTGTTAACCACTTATCCGAAATGTTTTGTATAAGCCCAAACTATCAGGCCGATTGGCCAAATGGGCAGTCGAACTTGGCGGGTACGATATTGAATATCAACCCCGAACGACCATTAAGTCTCAAATCTTGACCAACTTCGTGGCTGATTTTACGCCGACCCTCGTACCCCAAGTGGAGAAAGAACTTCTGCTAAATCGGGTACATCGTCGAGGGTGTGGACCCTTTTCACGGATGGTGCCTCGAATGTGAAAGGGTCCGGGCTTGGCATTATTTTGAAGCCACCAACAGGTAGTACTATTAGACAATCCATCAAAACTTCTAGGTTGACTAATAATGAGGCCAAGTATGAGGCCATGATTGCAGGTCTCGAGCTAGCTAAAACCTTGGGGGCAGAAGTCATTGAAGCCAAGTGCGATTCACTGTTGGTGGTTAACCAAGTAAACATAAGTTTTGAAGTTTGAGAGGATAGGATGCAACGGTACTTGGATAAGCTATAGGTAACTTTTCACCGCTTCAAGGAGTGGACTCTAGATCATGTGCCTCGAGAATAAAATAGTGAAGCCGATGCACTTGCTAATTTGGGTTCATCGGTTGAAGAAGATGATATCATCCCAGGGACTGTCGTCCAATTATCGAAGTCTGTGATTGAAGAGGGTCATGCCGAGATAAATTCTACAAGTTTGACTTGGGATTGGAGGAATAAGTTTATCGACTATTTAAAAAATAGAAAACTCCCATCGGACCACAAAGAGTCAAAGGCTCTACGAACCAAGGCTGCTAGGTTCACATTAGATGAAGATGAAACATTGTACAGGAGGACATCCGATGGACCAATAGCGGTATGTTTAGGGATGGGGGACACTGATTATGTTTTACGAGAAATCCATGAAGGTACTTATGGGAATCACTCCGGCGCCGAGTCTTTGGTCCGCAAAATTATTAGAGCAGGTTATTACTGGGATAGCATGGAAAAAAATACTAAGGAATTTATTAAAAAGTGTGATAAATGTCAAAG